TTTTGTGCTAGTTTTTCTGGAAACATCTGTCTGTGAACTTGGTTTGACCATTCGTTAAACGTTCGGCTTAATTATATCTGTGTATTTTATTGGAATGGAGAGTAGCGCCTTTTTGACGTAATTCTATCAAGTTTTCATTTGTTTTTTTATTCATTTCAATTGCTTAGCTTCAGTAGCTGCTCTGTACAAAGACCGGTGTCTTTTTTTGCAAGAACTATCTTTTCACACTCAATTGGCGAATGTTTTTCCTTTTTTAAGGTGATTCTGGCCGTAAATCTTGCTTGCACAACAGCAACGTGGCGTCTTCTTCCTCATCAAGTGCTTCTCCTTCGGAGTCTCCTTCACGGAGCTCAACAAATACTGACCAGAACAGGTCAGCAACGGGAACTCCTCCTCTTCCTCCGGCTTTGAAACAGTCTGTTCCCAAAAAAGTTGGTTTTTCGGTGGCGGTTAAGCTTCCGCACTGTGCTTTTCGTAGATCGGATTAGCCTGCATTTTTTGTTATCATGTAACTTCTGATACTGCAGGCTGTTTTGTGTACGAAAGATGAGCAGTTTGTAGTATATTTTTTCAACTTTCTTTGAAGGATCAGTATAGAAGTCAAAGGTCTATGTCACTCGGTAGTGCTGCTCATGAGTCGTTGATGGCAGCTGTAGCATCGTCATCTTCTAGGAATACTATTCACACGGTGGATATAAGTCGTTCTGAAAATGGTAATGTGGATTTTTTTCATTTCTTCTGACTGCTTTTTTGAGGAAAACATTGGGGATACAAGCTTGTTAGAATTAATTTTTGATTGGTTTTTCACATTTTTTTTTTATCGTAGCTACTCGGAAATTAATTTCAGGCGACAAAGTTGCTTTACTTGTTGAAAATACTCGGTTTTTGGTGGATCCTAATGTGTTGACTGCAAAACCAGATACTATGCTAGGTAGAATGTTTAGTGTCCGATCAAAGAGCCATGAAGGAGCGGAATTGGTTCGTCCTAACGAGCATAACGAATATGAAGTTGCGGAGGGGATTTCAGCTCCTTGCTTTCAAGCCATCCTGGTTAGTTATTTAGAGTATAATGAAGTAAAATTGACAGTTTTGTTACAGTAGTTAGCGACAGACTTCAAAAGGACTGTGCCTCATACTTTGTATTGCATTATAATGACGTAAAGGGGGGTTTTTTTAGGTTTTAGAAATTCATTATTTTTTGCTTCGTTTATTGCATTCTTACTTCTTTTTTCTGATTATTTGGTGTTACCATTAATCCACGTTATTTTTACTTTAGGGAGGCAAGTTATTCTTGGTCGTTAATTTAACTGACATTTTGGTTCTTAAGTCCTTTAATTTTTTCGTTTCACTGATTTCAGCTGTGGAAGGGATGGGGGGGGGGAGGGAAGGAGAGGAGGAAGAGCCAAATTATTGCAAGATTAGTATCCTATACAGCGGTCTCAGGTGTTTTTATATTTGCATTAATGCTGAATTTTCAGTAGCTTATGGACGTGAAGCTTTTTTGTAGCGGTTTTGGCCTCGTGGTCTACGAATATTGTAAGACTTTTAAAATGTTTGTTTCTAGGAGTATTATCACACAGGAGAAATGCGATGCCCTTTGTCGATATCGGCTTCTGAGTTGCGAGAAGCTTGTGATTATCTCCTAATTCCATTTAATGCTGATACAGTTCGTTGTCAAAATCTTCGCTCTCTTTTACACGAACTTAGTAATGAAGGAGCGAGACAACGGTTTACTGGATTTTTAGAAAAAATTATTTTACCCCAAATGGTAGCTAGCACTGAGGTATAATTTTTACTTCTCCGTTGTAATTCTCTTTCTTTCAAAAGTAATATTATTATTACTCTGTTGAAACTTAGTATGGTGATCGTGAATGTCACATTGTTGTTCTCTTGGACGATGATGTTGTGGACTGGGATGAACATTATCCGCCGCAAATGGGTGAGGATACAACGCAAGTGGTTTACAGTACCCAGCTTTATCGCTTTTTCAAATATGCCGAAAATAGGGACGTTGCAGAGCAAGTGAGTTTAAGTAGTGTAGCATGATGTCAAAAAATGGCTTCTTTATGTATTAATGAAGTGATGATGTGAGGACTACAATACTAGTTTACTGTTCTGGCAGTATTTTTCAGATACTAAATTAAGCCCATCTTTTAGGTTCTTAAAGAGCGTGGTTTGAAGAAAATCCGTTTTGGCATTGAAAGCTACCCAACTCACAAGGAGAAAGTTAAACGACGTTTTAACAAAGCTGAAGGTAAGAGAATATTAGCTGAAATTAACCGGCCTTGATTTTCATAATATTTTATTTTAGTGATATATAATTATATTCAAAGACCTTTCGTACATTGTTCGTGGGAAAAAGAAGAAGCGCGCTCGCGACATGTCGATTTCGCTTGTCCAATCGTCAAAAGCAAATCAAATCCGAGCCTCGCTAGCGCTGCAAGCGACCCACTTCCTCAAGTAATAAATATTATATTTCATACAGTAAAATGCAGTGGTGTAATACGGATTATTAAGAGGTCGTTGAAGAATGTATAAATTACCGTGCTTTTTGTTTCCAAGTCTTACTTTAGATAAAAATATCATATTGTTGTGTGACCACCTTTTTTTT